CAAGCTCTATTTTAAGCACTGGGAATACAAAAGACAAAGGAGATTCAGGCCGTAGAGGGGCCACTTTTTATTGGGGAAACCTGCACAGAAACAGAAAATCATAAAACTGTGTGGCAAATGTAGTGGTAAGAGAGGGGCACACACACACAGGGAAATACATGAGTGAGCAAGGGGCATATGGTCTGGAAATTCTCCCGGAAGATGTGGGGAAAATATGACATTGATCAAGGACTTGGTTTTGAAATTAAAGTGAATCAACCTAAAAATGCTTTTTGGTCTCAAATAACAGAAGACCTATAGCTCAAACCGACTTCAGAAATAGCATTCATTTATTTTCTCATATAATGGAAAGTCCAGAAGGAGGATGTTTGATAGAGAGGTCCACGTCTTCAGGACTGGGGTTCCATTTCTCTGCTTCTCCTTCAACTCTGCTATCCTCCATGGGTCAGCTTCTTTCTTCAGCTGGCTTCCCTCATGGAAACAAAATGGCTGCAGCAGATCCAGGCCTAACACCTGCACACCACATAGTCCAGGTGACCTGACCTTGCATTCCAAGCAAAGCTTCTGACATTCCCTCTATTAGACTGGCTTCATTCACATGTCTGGTCCAGTCACTGTGGTCAGGGGTATGTAACACACTGACCTCTTAGCCTAGGTCACGGCTCTACCCCTGGGGCTAGGGGTAGTGCCAGATGTTTGGAAGGGAGAAATGAATGCGGCCAACACATATCTGCTCTTCGTGGGAAGCAGAATGCCCCACCTGAGCTTGCTGAAACATTCATGAGCACACACTGGCATTGGTTACAGCTGGAGGAAGCTCTTGAGTCTTCAGTGAGGAGTCTTACGACCAAGTATGGAGAGATGAGGATCCCAGCTTTTGAAAACCAAGAGGCAAAAAACCTCATCTTCGAGGAAAGAAGTCATTTCACCCGCCGTTATACCTTGGCTTTTTGATGCTTTAAACCACTTGACTTGGCCAGACACCCCCACCTTGTTGGAGAAGGGGGTCAGGGGCGCATCACCCAGGATAGCTGATGTTATCCTGCAGTACGAACGACCCCCAAATCTCATTACCTTAATACAAGCCCACTGTGAGTCCCACTGAGCCTCCAGGGCAATAGTCTTCCATGGGGTGACTCAGGGATCCAGGCAGAAGGAGTCTCCACCATCCTGTAGCTGCACTCCCGGAACTTATAGCCTCCTAGATCAGAACAGCAAGGGAAGATCCAAATGGAGAGTCAAACCCTGGAAGTTAAATGCCTCCACCTGGAAGTGATGCCTAGCTCTTCTGCTCACATTCCATGGACTAAAACAGGTCACGTGGCCACATCTAACCTCAAGGGACAGGTGAGTGTGCCCAGAAATAAGGATGTGCAAGCTGGTGAATGTGGAAAAGCCCACTACAGTGGAATTCCTGGGTTCCTGCAGCGAGAGCAGAGAGCTGTGCCAGGTGCCTCGTCTGCTTACTTCCCTTTAACCAGTCTTCTGTGATTCCGGCTGCCACACGCAGGAGCTTGTTTCTGGAGGGAGAGGAGACTGGCAATGGAAAGATTAGCTGCTCCCTGGGTTCCACACGGGGATCGGTATTTTCAACAATACTTTGTGAGTTCAGCCTCAAAGTAAATGGTTAATTCATCTTGTATCAACAGCACTGTGATTCATAAAGTAAACTTGGAGAATCCTTGATGTTTCAGGCCCACATTCCTTTTAATTTGGCTCTGCATTCTTTTAAAGCCACAGCCTGCTCACTTAATAGAATGCAGCATGCAAATGCACATGTTTTTGCCTGGAGGCAATTTAGCCTCGCTGTTTCAATGGATGTCTTCTTTCAAGTGTATATTCTTTCTTAAATTATTTACTGGGTAAACACACTTTGCATTTTCAAAAGGGAGATTAAGACCGCTTGTGGCAGACCTAGTTGAATATAAAGCGCCCCCCACAACCTTGTCCAAAGTTAGAAGGAAGTTACTCTGGGCTTCCTCCAAAGTTCCTTCTCTGCTTCACGAGCTGGGAACCCCGCTTCCCAGCTTGTGGACCTGATTCTTTCCGGACTCTGCATTCCTTTCTGCTTTGCCTACAGCAATACCTGCCAGCGGCCCCTGGCTGTGACGGTAGGCCAGGCCTCCTCACAGATGGGGCCCACCAATGCCAGCCTTTGTTTCCCTGTCCAGGCTGGCTTGGTCTTATTCACTCAAAGGCCCCAACAGCTCACTTTTCTGGCCCTTAGAGGTATTGTATCGGCCCAACACCTTTGAGGCCCAAAACTGGGTTGGTGGCCTAGCCAGAGTCAAGTTTACTTCCAATTCTGTCAGCTCCAACTCCTTTTTTTTTTTTTTTTTTTTTTTTTTTTGCCCCTCTACACCCTTTGTCCCACATATCTTTGTTTGAAAGCAAATACTCTCTCCTGCTGACCTCTTCCACCGCCAGCACACAGTTCCATGAGGACCATTCCTTCTCCCCGTTTGACCCAGTAGTGCTCTGAGAAGACGCCATGATACAGTGTTCCATCTTCGGGGAGTTTACGTCAGCTTTTAACTTCAGCCTTTTCTATGCAGACTCCCTGCGATTTTCCTGCAAATTAAATTTGCACAGATTTCTTCTCCATTCTCCCTTGAATGGAATGATTACAATTACAGGGGCTGCGTTCTTTCATTATCATCCTTTGGACAGTTCTCCTGGGGGCCTACGTGCCAGTAACCGTGCCGAGTTCTGGGCTGGAGAAGTGAAGACTCCAGGCTCTGTGGACGCACCAAGGTCTTTCTGAACGTCTGTGACCCAGTGGTGCCCTTCTTGGGATCAGGTGTGTGTGCACTGAGTGAGTTAAAGACAAGCTATTAGGAAAAATCATGGGTGAAACCCACTCTTTGCTTTGAGATGAGGGAAGCCCAATTAGGAAGACTGCGGAAGAGCTGAGGATTTAGGGATTCCTGTGTATTCATTTTTCTAACCATGCCTCAGATTAAACAGGTAACACCCACAGTTAATCCTTTATAAATTAGCGTCATGGATGCCTTGGGGCCCTCAACCCACAAATAAAATGGTCGTCATCCGGGAGACACACTACCGTGGATGACTTAAGGCAGAATTTTAAAGAGTTTTCATGCTTTCAATCTGTTTCACTGCTGAGCTTCCATTTTGCTGATTTCCTTTGCAAGTCTGATGCGGGTGACTGTGGTAGAGATTTGACAGTGACTTGGGCAAATGGGATGTGTAGGGACTGTTCTGAAGACTTCTGCCCCTTCCAGGGAAAAGGGGAAAAAATCAGTTTGGGTTTTAAATCAAGCCACCAAGTTATACCGATCAGTGTTCGTAATTAGCCTCACTTTAACAAGCTGCGAAGTCCCGTTTTTATTTATTTATTTTGGGGACCGAGAATCTTCCTGGTTCCTGAGTAAATATGGCCTGTTGAGTCTGAATTAGCTGTCATCGCAGAAGAATTAATGTCAGGGCGCAGCCTTTCTAGTGGGGAAGGGAAGAAATAAACGAGACAGATCTTAGCTGAGCATTACGTGATAAATGAGGACCGAGCGGATCATTCATCTCCTTGGAGGAAAGTGGACACAGGCGCTAAAGCAGTTTTGCGGAAGACGTGTCAGCAAATGTGATCATTTTGTAACCTGTCAGGAGGAGAGGGAGCTGGTCCTTCCAGGGGGCCACGAGGGAGTGGGCTTGTCTGATGTGACCATCTGCATCCATCCATTTAGGTTTGGGGAAGAAAGGGTTGCGCAAGGAAGAATGCAACTGAAACCACAAGGATGTTGTCATTCTTCCGAGAAAGAAACTCACCCAGAAGCTAGAAAAGACTGCGAAGGCCCTGTAGAGATTTCTTCTCGAAGATGTGAAGTTAGGAGGGTGGGGTCTCTGTTAAACCAGGGGCCTGGCTGGTCCCACCTAGTTCCTCCCATGGGAGTCCCCTTCCCACGTTCTGTGTCTAGACAAGGCAGCAGACCTTCTTTTCTCCTTGGTATTTGGAGGACAGGCAGATGGGGTTTGCTGTGGGGTCTTGACAGCTGGATGAACAGCCAGCCGGAGTGCCCAACACTCTGCCTCTATTTCTGCATGGTCGGTTCTGTGGGAGCGAGCGTGGGCAGGGCTGTTTGACCCAGCTTTTTCCCTTAGACAACCTCAGCGAGGCATACTGATGTTCGACCTCTTTTCTCAGAATGAGGTAACAAAGTATGAGACAACTTCCTCAGAAGCCCTCTGCAGGCATCTTGGAGCGTGCGTCTGCACTCTGGCTCTCCTTCTGAGTCCCCAGTTCCCCATCTGCATTTGGCAGAGCCACAGCTGAGGGGATTGGAATCCCTAGAGGTGAGGGCCCACCAGCCAGAGCACACGAGGCACCCGGGTACTTTGTATTATTCCTCATTTCCATCTTTTTTTTTTTTTTTTTTTTTGCCACGGAGCACATGTAACGTTTCCTCTCGGCGTAACGGAGCGTGAGCCCCAGTGACAGATGATGGTTTCATAGCCTGAGCTGCAAGCTTGACACTTGCTTCTTAATCTTGTCCTTTTCTTCCTAAGTCTCTCTTTTACTTTTCCCCGGGTATTTCTGTACAGGTAAGTACCTTACTGACATATGTTTCCTTGGAGTCTTTCACTTTCACGGGAAACACTGCAAAAAAAATGAGGCTTGTCTCACATGTTAAATTAAAAAGAGAAGCTCGCATGGGGCCCTTGATCACTGAAAGATTACTACATGGTACTCGGAGACCAGAAAGCCATTTGATTCGCTGCAGCTTCTCAGGAAGCATTCCTCCGGGTGCCTCGTGACAATCGCTGTGGCGTCGTTCGTTTGCTGGTGGATTGTTTGTGGAAACACAGAGCTGCGTGGTCACACACATGCACGCACGCAGGCACACGCACGCACACGCACACCCCACACTGGGCTCCCCACCCCCATCCGCGAAGCCTCCGTTTGATTAGCCGACCTGGTCTTATATGGTCTTTGTCCTCGGTTTATCTGTGTGAATCGCTTTTCATGCTTTGCTCTCTCCTAGAATCATCCAGAACCGCATCCTGATCGTCATTCTGGCCATCGTCCTGGTTATCACCATCCTGACAGCGATCACTTTTTCTGTCAGAAGACACTGATGTATCTGCTCTTCCTTGATAAACAGCGACCATGGCTCGTTCTGAGTAATTAAGACAAAATGGTCACATGAATCATTCTCTCGCGCTGACAGGGCCTGAATGACCCTCCCTCTCTCTCACCGCTGTTCAGCTGAAGTGCAAAGAGTGTAAAAATATTTTCTATTCCTGTTTGCATGTGGGTTGGCTTCGTTTTCTAGGTTTGTCTTCACCCAGATTTGTTTTTCATAGGGGAAGGCGAATGTTTATTTGCCTTTTGGTAATTTCATCTACTGACCAAAATAGCCTCGGTGACATTCTTGCTTGCCCTGTGGACATGTCAGGGGTCATGGTTTGGGAGAGGGCATGATGAGGCAGTCACGGGGGCTTCTGATGGACTGTGCTGTTTGTCACACACCTCTTGTCACCGATCAGCCCTTCTGTGATGTGTGAGCATGAAAAATGCAGAGGCAAGCAGCGGCCAGAGCCAGTGACTGGCCCAGCAAACCAGCCCTGTTCCTCCCCAGGCATAATGAATATAGTCCACCTGCCTGAGAGCTTTCATCGTAAAGGTGGGTATTTAATAGCAGTTGTGCAGGAAATTGACTTAGCACTTTCCCTGTTTTTCTATGCATACATATATTTTTTTTTACCCAAGAATATTTTTTGCTGAGACTGCCCAATATCCACTTTTCACCACTTTGATTACTGGCTACAAGAAAGATTTCCTTGCCTTCCAAAAATCCCATACTCCCCAGAATCTGCTGGCAGAGAGAGCCCCGGCATGGTATTTAATGGTGACCTCCTCTCCCCTGACCTGTGTAAGCATCTCTGTATCCTTTCCGTCGTAATATTTGCACTGCCAAAAGCAGCCCTCGTACATGTAAAAGGTCTGACAGGGTTCTCTCCACATCCATTCCAGTATGTAAAGAGAGCATGAATATTTCAGGATAGAGCAAGAATCTGACTCCTTCAGTGAGAAATTTCAAATGTGATTATCAATATGGTAGAGTCCTATAGGCTGATCCACTGGAAATAAACTTGATGGAAAATGTTCACTCACCTTCTTTAAAAGAATAAGGGATTGCAGCGCGTTACAAAAGGATGGCTTGGGTCTTTCACTAACAAATGTGAGCACTGCCTTCCTGAATTCACGATGTATTCAAACCTCTGCCATGCTTTGTGATTTTCTTTGGTTTCTTTCTGTCCGAGGTAACCGGGAATTGCGTTTAAAATGAGTTCATTTATGATCAGGCTTCAAGGTGCCCAAGCTGAGGTCATTCTCCCGCTAGTCATAAAGCAAAATGTGTTTTTCTTAAGACTTCATAGGCACTTACAGGGTCCTTTCTATCTTTTGAGTATAATTGGAAGCTTTGAATCCTTGAAAAGCAAACCTGTTCCCTTCATAAAAAATGCTAACCACCTGTGCCCATGGGCTGAGATCACCTGGATGCAGCACTTGATTTTTTTTTTTTTTCCCCAACTCAGAAGAGAACCATTATGGTTTAGAGAGGAAATGCAGAATGGCAAAGTCCACCCAAGAAATTGTACTTATCGAAACAGGCTAGGGCCTGCATGTGTTCAGATAAATCATTTAGTATTGTGTAAATAAAGCTGCAGCATTTACTTCTCAGGGGTGGTGTGGGATTTTGGCAGAGCAAAATAGGCCAGCAAAGGAGCGGGAAGGCTGTGCTAATTTTCCTATCAGCTTAAGGGATCTATCTCAGCAAGAATCTTTTATTCTGATAACGGAATTCTGTACCTGCTAAACACATCGAAGAAACAATGAAAAAGCAGGGAAACAAGTAATCTCCTTCTCGTTTTGAAACTCTAATGGTGGGGAGGTATTCTACCAGCCTCTCTGGTGGCTTCCCTCGAAACAGTTGGTCTTAGCTAAAGTGTATAATCCGTCACCCAGCTACACCTCACGCCGCCAGACTCTTTCTAAGGCCACCTGGCAAGCCAGGTTGATCTGATCATCTAAACTTGCTGGCTCCTAAATATTTCACTAACACCTGGCGTTCATGTTGAAAGAGGAAATGAGGAGGGAGTGCATCACTCACCCTTCAGTGGCTTCTTTAGGGTTCTATGTCATTATCAGCCCTCGCCTGAGATTTTGCCCCAATTCAACCCTGAGAGTGGAAAGAAGATGAACAGATAACCCTTGGCCTAACAGCCCCATCAAATTCACCTCAAGAGCGACCCCCTAGCCCGGGATAGTGACCACTTTGTAGGAAGCTGGTCCGAAGGCCCCTGAATTTCCCGCCTGGCCCTCTCGAATGCTGCAGGACAGACTCAGAGGTGGCCCAGGGGAGGAAAATTGTTCGCCCTGCTCCCCTGGGGAAGGAGGAAAGCCCACACATTGGAAGCCATTCATAGAACTGTGAAAGGTTCTAGGAACTTAATGTGAAATTGATGAATATCTCTAAAGTCAGGAGCCTTTGTTAAAAATTATGTTCAATGGAAGGGTGGGGTGTAGGAGGAGACGGCGGAGGAAGAGGAAGGAGGAAGCCCTTGCCATATAAAATTCGTGCAGACTAAACAGTTTCCCTGGCAGCGTAAATAAAGCGGATGCTGCCCTGCTCCAGAATCAAAAGCAATTTAATTAAAGTCTCTTAAGTTGTAAAGAGTTTTAAATGTTCCACGTTGAAGACGAATGCCGACGAATGCCTGCAAATGCAGCGGGCCTGACGTCAGCCGCCAGGCCTGGGCTGGGAGGCCATTTGCTATTCTGTTTAAGGCAGGCTGGATTGTCTTATTTTGGAACCAGCTTGGTGGGGGGTTTGCTTTGCTACTGCTTCTGAGCCCTGAGCTTCAAAGGCTGAAATTAATGGTGAACAAAATTGTGCAGCTCTGGCCGTCCCATGCGGGGCAAGCCCATTGAGGGTTATCATTAAGTAAAGAAATAAAGAGGGGGAAAAAAGCCTGCCTGTTCCAAAAACCTCATCAGATAATGACCTCGGTGATTGGATTTTCATTACCAAATAGCATCCAGAGATTATCTACTCCACAGAAGAAAGGAGGGGGAAGGAAAAAAAAGGAAAGAAAGGAAAGCAACCGTCTTTCTCTTCCTCTCTCCTTTTTTTTTTTCCTCTTTCTTTTGCACATCTTTTCTTTAAAACTGTCAGATCATTTCAGTATTTCAAATCCGAGGAAAACAGCCTGCCTGCTGCTGTATTTGAAGTTGTAATGGTGTCAAAAAGTCACGACTGACTGACAGCCGTCAGTCCCAGAGGGGCTCATTAAATCATAAAAACTTGACAAGGAAATAATTGCGCATCGCCAGCAACTTGGCGCCTGTTTAGACGTTTTTATTTTCTTTCATTATTAGTCCCCACCATTACGTTCATTAACAAATTGCACTAAACTGTTAAGGGCTAATGATTTGTTTATCCCTTTTTTTATTATTATTATTATTTAAACATTAGCTGTGTCATGTGGTACCCAAGCAGCCTCTTGCCATCATCCGACTGAATATTTTTCCACTCCGAGCTCTGGGTACTGTTGGAATATGAAATAGATTATTCATTACTCTCCTCTTTGCCACTGATTTGGTTTCATGTAGCGTCTTCCACAGAGAAAGATGAAAACTTGTCAAAAATAGGTTATATCTTATTCGAAGGGGCAACAATAGCAGCAGGTACAGGCACACTTTAATATTTAATTAAGGTGGATGTTAACCCCTTTAAATGACTTTAGGTGTAAGTTCTATTCAAATGCAGAAGACAAAAATAATTGTTCTTAATTTGCAACCTGTTCGGCAGGCACTCTCATGGAGATAGCTGGAAATTTAGAGCAGCATTTTGAAATAATGAAATTTCCTATCATAAATATTTATAGCCGTTTGTCTACGTAGTTGAGAATTAACTACCAGCCATGATTCCCTCATCTCTTTGGTTTGAACGGCTAGCCCAGTGGGGCACCCAGTGCTTGGGAGTGGAGATGGCTTTCCTGGGAGAAATGTGTGTCCAGAGCCAAGGACTGCTGGTCGGTTATGGCTGGGGCTGGTTTCCGAGGAACCGCTGTGAGTCCCCTGTCTCTGGTCCACTTGCCTCCCCCTTTAGCTGAGTGTGTGGTTGGAGGACTCCGGTCTGGAGTGAAAGTAAGTAGGGACTTCTCAAAGGAACACTTGTGTGTCCGGCTGGCTGGTGCTGGGAGGGTGTGATGGGGGCACGTCTGGGCCATCTCTGTGTCATCGATGAGCTCATTGCAAACAGTGCTTTCCTGATAGACAACAGAAGCAGCACTTTCCTGGGGTTGACCTTCCACCTTTTTTTCCTTTCTGTGAAGTGTCTGGCTTTTCCGTGGGCTGTGAGCCTGCGGGGAAAAGTTCCAGTATCATCATCATATCCTAAATCAGAAGTCAGTGGCATCTTCCATGCTGTAACTGCTGGACGCATCTGGTCACCCTGTTTGATTCGATGAGTTACATAACCATACAGCCACTCTGAGAGCCCTGGTTCATTGGCAGAGCTGGGGTGTTCTGGTCAATATCAGGGAATGGGGAGTACTTTTCTCCCAGCCTCTTTCTACTTCCACCCGCCCCCCCCCCCCATCCCCAGAGAGACCAGACCCCTTGGGCAGCTTCTCTGTGGATGTGAAGGGGAGAGATGGTACACATTCCTTGCCCAGCACAGCACCTCTCAGTGTCACCCACATCAGGGAATGGGGAGTTCTTTTCCCCCAGCCTCTTTCTACTTCCCCCCGCCCCCCCCCCCATCCCCAGAGAGACCAGACCCCTTGGGCAGCTTCTCTGTGGATGTGAAGGGGAGAGATGGTACACATTCCTTGCCCAGCACAGCACCTCTCAGTGTCACCCACACAAGGACAGATGGCCCTACAGGAGCCGTGGCACAGGAGGGACCAGCAGGTGTGAGCCAGGTGAGGCCTGGCCTCAAGCCTCATGGATCACTGTGGGCTTAGAAATGGCAGACACACCAGGGTCTGGGGGATCTCAAGCCTCCATTTCAGTCCACTCCAAATTAGCCACACAACAACTTGCCACCTTTGGAATGGACTCTATACCTCAGCAAAAGGCTTGCTCAGAGTCGTTTTTCCAGAAAGAAGGAAGGAAGACTCTGTAGTGAGCCATCCCCAGCCTGACTCCCAGAGACACTGCTCGAGGCTACTGCCTGAGATGAGGGGGCGGCCCTCAAACTTGGCCTCGCCCTATGCCATAACTCACTAACCTGAAACGAAACCCCAGGAAACTACTCTGCCTGCAGCACACTGGACTCAAACCAGTGGTGCCTGCGAGAGGCCGCCCACATTATGTGAATAGTCAGGTGGCTCTTAGACGAGATGTCAGCCTTTTTAAAATGGGGCAGGCGACTGTGTACACGGACAGCTCAGAAAAGTTCTTAAAGCCCTCGGCACTGCACCCAAGAAGGGAGCCATTGAAGGGTAACCAAGAGCAGCCAGGTACTGGCGAGAGAATAGGGTGTGCGATTAGAGCCAAGGCTGGATACAGGGTCCTGAAATGGGTGTTGGAGCCAACGTCAGTGTCCTGGAGGAAAGACACATTGAGTGCTGAGAGAGACTGCCCATGTCTGTGAGGATTCCACGTCAGTAACAGGTGAATGTTCCAGAGCCAGCTTGCCAGAGGCAAGTAGGGCAAAAACAAGATGGTGGGTCAACCAAGAAGGTGGGGCAACCATGATGGTAGGGCAAACCAAGACGGTAGGGCAAACCAAGATGGCAGGACAGGAATGGGAGTGTATGAGGTTGGGAGTGTATGA